CTCCTGTTTCGTGACTTCTAATTGATGCAACGACATCAACAAGTTTGTTGCTGCATTAGTATGGTTTGCCAACATGAATTGGAAACGATTAGCGGAACATCATATAGCTATATCATATACCAGACATGGATCTGAGACCTGAGCCTTGTATCTGCAGCTCAGAATCTCTGCTCATGAATGTCAACTCTCACGGGGTGTCTTAGTTCTACAAATAGCTCAAAAAATGTAAAAGAAAATTACCGCCTGAGTACCTGCCCAGTGGCTGCTGAATATGTCTCTTGCACTTCGTTCATGAAAATAGTTTCAACAAAGTCATCCAGTATCCTCCTGAAGGTCCATCCAATACCCCCAACCAAAGGCCTGTGGACCTCTGAAGCACGCAACATAGCGCTGGTCCACCTGGCAATCATCGCTGGTTGTCTTAGTATCGAAGCATATGAAACATCCACAGCAAACCAAGGCATTGCTACACCGACGCAAAAAACGTCAATCCCAAACACGACCTGTCTGGGACTGGCATATTAACATATTTTAAGTAAAATATATTCGATACATGGAGTGCCTGGGAATGTGGTTCCTTGAAGAGACTCCCAGACTGCTGGACCCTCTCAAACAGCATCCCCAGCCTTGCGGCCATGGATTCGCTGCTTCGCTCGGAAAGACACGCGCGATTCTCAGAAAACTTGAGAAAAAGGCAGCGATTGGCGACGCCAACTGACAGTGATGGCAGATCGATGTCGCTGGCAGATCTGATTCACCTCACTTTTACCTGCACATAGACAGCTGATACTACTACAGCTGATCATGGCAGATCCATGAGTATAGTTGTTGGTTGATGTTGGATGGAGATTCCGCTTTCCATAATTACGTCGAACTCATGGGCCCTCATGGGTAGCCAACGCCAGTCTATGTGCATCATACCTCCAGAGAAGGGTAAAATGCAAAAAAGCACTTTTAAAATGAAAACCAAACAGTGAGGGTAAAATGCTTAATTTATTAATTGAAACCTAATGTCATTCTCCACACCGAATGAGCTGCCCACCTGCAGATCGATCTCACCTGCATCCGTCGCAAGGACATCTGCCTCGATAGAAATCGATCCCTTCACGGAATAGAGTGGCATCTGCAAGTGCTTGGGTCTGCTTCAACTCTCCGAGATTGGATGCTTGAGCTAGAAATCATTGAAGACAAGTGCCGAGTCGTTTTGACACTGTCCCTCCTCCACAAAGCCACACTGGCCAACAGCAAGTGCGTCTTCATTGCACGCAGGCACAGGAGCATACTTGCCAACTTATATACTTAAAATGATAGAACAGCCTACGTGTGAGGAGGCAACTTTTGGGGATCGTCAAAAAGACATCCCCCAACACATCCCCAAACAACATTCCTATATATAGGTATCTCAAAACATCTCAAAACAACATCCAAAAAACTTTAGCTTTAGCTTCCCTCCAGTCATCCTCAACCGTCATGGAAGTGGAAGCTTGGAAGGCAACTAATTATCCTATCCAATCCTATCCTTTATATAGATGCCTTTACAATCCTTTACGCTTTACACCCCAAAAAGTCTATATAGTCCAGCCGTGATTGTCAAACTGCAGGCTCTGACCTTCCCACGTCTCTGCGCCTTGAGCGCCTTCACCTCCGCCCGCAGGCTGGCGCCAGGCTGTGGCCAGGAGAAGGTCTGCCGAGTGCTGGGTTTCCTGGGAGAAGCCACGAAATCCGCTGCGCGAGGCCCTGATGGAGAATCCTAGGGGGTCACTGATGGACTACTTGATGGACTAAGTTGGATCCCAACTACTTGGAGATCCCAAGGGAACAAAAATGTCACTGGTCATGTAGTCATCCAGTTGATGGTTTGGAGTTGGATCCCAAGGGGTCACTGCCTGGCTTTTGAAGGGAATCCAACCTCCAGGATGTTGCTGGAACAGACCGACCCATCGGCTGCAAAGCGGAACTGGAGGACGGAATCAGGCCGGGCCCTGCAAACTTACTGGGAGCTCAAAGGGTAAGGCTATCTCCGACACCACAAGTGGATCGTCCAGGTACAGGACTTACATGACCGAGAGCATTCACTTCACCAGGCCCCAATTCCAGGTACACCCTGAAATCATCATGGTTACGGGGAGTTCACCACCTGTTTGTAGGCATATATGGCATACACCACCCCAACTGATCGGCATATATGGCATACATGAAGTGTCACCTGGAAGATTTCTTTTTCCTCTACCAACCGACATGGTTGTCAGGGTCCGTTGTTAATTTTCGGGGGTGTACCACTTGAAGGGGTCACTTGTCACTTGTCGTCACTCCGACCCATCTGTCACACCATTCGCATGTCTGGCAGCACCAGGTCCCAACAAACCTCCAAATGCACCAGCTCTCCTCTGTCTCAAGGTGGAGCGTCCTTTGAATTTGCCCGTGGGACCACGGCCCTCGATTCCTCTCCAAGGCACAAGCGCTGCCACACCTTGCGCCGCAGCTGCTGCAACTCCTCATCGGCGGTGTCAGCACAGGCCACCAGCGCCTGTCCAGCGATGCGGAATTGCACTCCGGCTTCGTCGAGCCTCAGTAGGCGAGAAGCTGGAGGTATGTTGGGATCTTCATGGAGAAGCGCTCATCATGTAGACCTTATTTACATAAATAAATTCACGTGTAATTTGATTCACCGGAAAACGAGATGTGGCAAAGAGTCAATATATGTAGCGCTAGTGCCTGTCAGAACAATAGCAACCTCGCCAAGTGGCCTTCTATCTTTGACACTAATTCGCGGAGGTTCGATTTTCACTGGCGAGCGCAAGGTCACAAGTTGTCCCTCTTGGATATAAAGTACCAAATTAGTGAACTTTGGCCGTGAAGACCCGTTGCTGCGCCGCGATTAGCCATTGGAGGGTGCAGGAGGACTTTGAGGGAGATCCATTAGCGACTTGTGCTCAAGATTCATTAGCGGTGCAGTGCAAATAGTCTTTTGGTCACTCGTCGGAAGGTCCTGGTAGAAGTTTAGATGCGGTCCAAAGGCTATAGTCAAGGAGCCACCAGCAAATCTCCACCCGGCTGTTGGGAAAGCCCTCCTGCGAACATGCACTTTGCAAACCAAGTTTGTTCCCGCACTTTGGCCCCACAAGACCACGTCGCCCGAACCTAAGGGGGTGTAGCAGTTGCTATAATAAGCTCCCCATGCAGCCAGTAACTACACTCCTTGAAAAACTCGTGGAAGTGGATGGCATGGCCCCTTGGATGACCATGTTCCTCTACAAGCACATGGTGTTCCTTTTCCATGACTATTTCAGGGTGTAATAGGCGGTTATTGACCCTGACCAACTAACATGTCACCCGTGCCGTACATACAAAATCCCTGAACTGCCAGGTCTTCTACCCCCTTCACTTTGGGCTGGTTCTACCCCTGAAAGCGACCATCAAGCGCCGTAACCCAAACGCTGCCGTGGTTTTGGAAGTCAATGTAGTAGGTCATCAAAGAAAACAGCTACGTGGAGCGCCTGGGTAAGGGCATCACCACCTTCGCTTCTGGGCTCGTGTGCCTGGATGTGCCTCACCTTCTGGGCTCGTTCGTCACTGATGAGCACCATGATGCAGCTCTCCTGGGAGAACAAACGACAAACAGAAGCAAAAGTAGGGTGAGTATGGGCAAGTGGCATGAAATCACAGGCATCCGCATGGCCATGTGGCCGATATGCTTTTTTTGCGAGCTGCTTATGGAGACTCATTTGATCTCTTTCTGATCGGCTTTGATAGGAAAAGACTACATTTGGGGTGGTTGGTGGTGCGGGTATGTACCAATAGATGTTACAGTGCCTCAACAAAAGAGTCTTCTACTCAATTGGTGGGGTCTGCCCACTCGGAGGGCATCGACATTCTCTGCCTGAGAGTGCCAAATTGTACTCACAACAGGAGGCCAGGAATCTATGTCTCTGGACACCAGTACAAACGACCTCTTGGGAAAAAAACATAGATACCAAGCACCGTAACAAACTGTAACTTTCCTCCTTTTTGCCCTCTGGGCTACAAACAAGGGTGCTTGGACAGCATTGATCCCGCCCATCAAAGCGCTGGCGGTGTGTATGGAGGCTACGTGAAAAACATAACTCCATCGATATTTTCTCGAAACGCCCACGCCCACCCTGATTAGTATGTTTAGTAGTTTAGTCAAACACTGAGTGGGTTGGACTTGGGTATGTATGGACATCCTGTTCCCATTTAAGAACTCTTACACAGCCATCCAAGGTCGCTTCCTTCGCTCCTGCTCATCGGTGCTCTCGGTCTCCAGCCGCGCGAAGCCGCGGAAGACCACCGTGCGCACAGTGGGCGCCAGCGTGGCCTGATTCAAAGGATTGATAAGTTGGGACCAAACCACGACCTATATGATGCAACACCAAGAGTCATAGCTTTCATATCTATAATGATACGAGATCTGGAAAGAATTCTACAGACTAATACGATCTAATACAGGTCCGCTTTGTCCGGTACAAATTTCATATCCTTGGTGTCATGGACTTGAGCAATTAAGGAGTATAGTCTTGTCTGTATGTACAGCTAAAACCTGAAACTATATAGTTATAGTAAAAGTGTCTAAAACTCACTTTGAGGATGGGCCTTCTTTGGATCAGTTACATCACTCAGTTAGATCATGTTAGATCCATCACACCCTCATCACATTCCCCTCGTCCCTCCTCCTCCATCATTTTCTGCTCCTTGACATGACATCTGCACCTGCACCTGCTCCATCACCTGCACCTCCTTCCTCCATCATTAACCCCTCCATATCCTGCTCTGCACCTCCCTCCCAGCCCCTCCCCCTCCTCCCTCCCCTCTCGCACCGGATCCACCATCGCCAGCTGCAGCTGCTTCCGCTTCGCCTCGCGCCTCGCGCCGGGAGCTGGGCTCCGGGACCCAGCGACTCGGGCAAGAGTTGCAAAAGGGGGGTAGTGGGATGGAAAAGGGGGTTAGGTAAGTGAAGTTGGAAGAAACACTCTTGTGGATCCTAAAAAAAGATCCTAGTCTAAGTCCCCCCCAAAAAACCAGCCAACTTTGCATGCACTTGAGCTCCCAGGGCCATGTTTCTGATACTTTCAGCTCATTCTCAGGAGGTACCTGGACCTTGCGGAGTGTCTTGTGCCCACTCCCAAGATTCCAAACCAATCGGATGAAGGTTTGTCAGGGGCCTCAAAGAGCACGATCCATTCATTCCTGGACTGGAATCCTGGGATGGGGGAGCACCCATCAAAATCTTTTTTGAAGTGTCAATGGATTCAAGAAAAACTCTAGTTCGTGGGACGTTACAGTGGGTCTTGGAGGAATTCTTCCTGGTTGACTGTGGTCGATGGTACGACGTCACAGCGCGCGCCCGAAAACGCATTGCCATCACGTTCCCTGTCCTCAGGCGACTCCATGCGAAAAGCACGGCTTGCGACGAGTCGCTGGGATGCGGCGCTGCTGCAAACGCCTCTGGATGGAAGTGCCTATTGGAGGGTAGGGGAGGGGGGTTGATTGACCAACAGTCTACATTAAGGGTCCGAAAACAACCCTTTTGATCCCTTTTGCAACTCCTGGAAGTCAAGTCCTCTTCATCAGTGCCGTTTCTTAGGAGAACGATTACAGTAAGATTTTAGGATGCCGCAGGCGGGCTTCTCTATCCATCAACGCGGGGAATGTGCCTCGTGGCCACGTGGGTCGCGGCCACGTCCAGGAAACATCTTAAAGCATGCATTAGATATTTGCATATATAAGGGACGGTCAAAGCTCCTTATTTTGTTCAACTAAAAAATGGAAGTTTTGAGTTGGACCTTATCGTTTTACAGTGTTTTGAGTCGTATGTTTTGACCGTGGCTCGTACATTTGCAGAAGGATGCGAGATGATGTGAGTGACATGAGGTAGGGTCACCTTGGCCGCCCCTTCTGCATGGGTCTGGTTGGTGCCAGTATCACAAAAGGTAGCTGAATACAAAATCTCAAGCCAGTACTGATTGTGCATTCCACGGGAGGTGTCTCTGTTCATTAAATCATAGGCATAGGTGATAGGTGGACATTAAGTTGAGTCAAGAGTCTCTTCCAGCCAGTGATGCCAGCTCTCCCAGAAGCCCGCAGCATAAGCGCGCGAACCCGCTGAAAGAACTACATGCGAAGTCTCAGTGCTGCTTGGCTTCACTTGGCTTCATGTTCGCTGCCCCATGTCCGGCCTAAGTCTCCATCCATCGGCCCCCATGGAGTTCCAACAACAGTCTCCCCAAGTCTCTGTACACTGTACGGTGGACACTGCGTGGTTCAGGCGTGGAGGTTACACCCTGTCCCAGTTTCCATCGGGTCTACGCCATGCGGTAGGACAATTGAACACCCCCCCCGTTTGGGCGAAGCTTTGCCGAGTGAAAAGCGGTCCAAAAAGGTGCCGTAAGTAAAGGTGTCTCACCGGTTCATGGGATGGATGAAGCGTTTCATGCCGGGTGGTTAAGGAGTCATGGGTTTGTCAGAAAAAGAAACAGCAAAAACATGCGGCATGCAGGTGAAGCATTGCATGGTGCCCGTTCGGTAGTCAGTAATTAGTCACGTTGTTTGACGAATCAATGCCAAGTGTTTGATATTTGCCCAAGCGGTGCCTTGAGCCAAGGGCTGCACCGTTCGGCAAAACACGAGGGAACCGGACATGAGGAGATGGACTAGTCGTTAGTCCCGACGTGAAGCCTTCAGAAAACGAGCCATCTGAAGCAGTGGAAGAAACAAGCCATCAAAACAAAGTGGAACAGCGAAGCGGGCAAGTTGAATTCTCAACCAGCAAAACGTCTTGGTGAATCGGTGAATCTGGAAAGATCCTCATGAGGGGTCCAGCATCACTAGTTTCAGCGGATGGCGAACTACAGCGAGCGCCAACACAAAACGAAAACCTTCACATACCAGCACCTTCCGACCTCGGGGTCACCTGGCTGGAAGCCTGGAAACACTACATAGGTCTCCAGACAGGACACCCCGGTTCAGGAAGGTCCAGGTCCTTTGCGGCGCCCGAAGGGACCTGTGGCGTCCGAGGTGTACACGAGTGGTTTGTTCACAATGGACTTGGTGGATCAGGCAGGCCCCTCACAGGCCATGCAGGTCATGCAGAGAGGCACATGGGCTACAAATGCCTACGTGGATATGGGGCTATGACCAGTAGTGTACAACCTGGCACACAACTGGGCTATGACCTGTGCCCAAGAGAATGTGACCCAACTCCTTTCACACAAAAAGGTTAAAGCCCCGTATCCATCTAGTAAAGAAAGACTTCAACGGGGCCTTTGCGTTTGGTCCACGAATGCTGGTCTCTTTCCTTTCGAAGGTTACCTGGAAAACCCAATCACTTGAAACACAACTCCCGTCAGCAGTCCAGAGCCGCTGGTTGACACGCCTGCAGTGGGTATCAGCATCTGCATCACCTGTGAGAAAGCGGTTTCTTTAGTGCTCCTTGCTCAAACAAAGGCATTCTAGTGGGTCTCTTGGAGGTCTTGGCCTCCGAAATGTCAGGAGTGGCAAAACGCATTGAAAGCTCGTTTGAGTTCTTGACCAAAGGATTTCTTTTCTGTATTCCACTAGGGAGTGGTTTTGAGACCCGGCCTGTGTGGATGCACTCACTCGACCCCACGACACCCAATAGCCCAAGAACCCGTACTTCCGAACCGCCACAGGTGGTTTGGGTTTCCTCATTGCTACGGAAAGGGCGGGTGCTCAACACTGACACGACACGAGGACGACAAGCATTTGCACTGCGGTCAATAACGACATACTGAACCTTGGAGCTCAAACTCACAGGACACATGACAGAGACACCTCAAAAATGCATTGTTTAGGCCATGGATGGCCATATGGTCTCATCTGTGCTGGATGAAGGGAACAAAAACGCAATTCTTACCTGGTCTTCAAACTAGTTAGCCTACCTTCTCATTCCAGGACAAGTTGTTGGTGGGCATCCCAGAAGACAGTGCTGCCCGCAAAGTGGTCGGACGGGCCTCTGGCTAGTCAAGAAGCGGTAGGGGAGGGGAAACGCCAAACACTGCATTGGAGTCGCCCTCCATGCATTGCCTCAAGCAACCCCGGAAAACACAAACATGGATGGCACCAGGAAAAAAAGCAAAATTGCACTTGCGTCTCCGCGAGGTCACAAAAAGAACTTGGCATGTTTCAGCTCCGGGGGGCAGCAGCGGAGCTGAACAAAGGCTCACGGAGCGTCGGAAAGGCAGCAGCGGAGTCTCTCTTGACAGTGCCATGAGAGATCAATGAAGCTCTTCGGTTGTGAACCACTCCCAAACGCTCCATGGGACTGGAATATATGCCGCCCCATTGACCCCTGAACCACCCCAATGTATGCAAATATGGCAGCCTGGCATACAGGCATACATGGAGTGTCTGGGACTTGGTAGTAAAAGTCGAGTAAACGGAATCCGCTCAATGGGGACACAATGACACCCACACCTTGGGTGTCTTTCGGGTGTCTTTGTGGGTTGATCTACCTTTGGTCCATCACCATGTTCACTAAAAGCAATTAAACAAACTCAAGCCATCTTGAGCCTTCAGAGGTATCCCATGTTTTACAACAGGACTTGGCTTCTGGGATCTCAGTCCTTTTTTTGCTTCTAACACCCCTCGGCCTTCCCCACACCCTTCGGCCTGCGGGTCCTGGCTGGCATGCATCCAGCGCACCTCGGGGGATGGGTTGCAAGGGGTCCCTCTTCCAGGAGCATGTGACTGAGCAAACTCGGACTGAGCCAACTGTAGATTCTGTAGACTCTTGCTTAATCGCCCCTCAAACGGATTTCCATGGATTTCCGAATCGACTGAGCCAACTCTGCCCCATGCAGTGGACTGGGGACAAATGGACTATGGACTGTGGTCCATTCTTTTGGGGTATCTTAGTCAAAGGAGCAATCAAATGACATCACTAGTGTCACAGTCGCCACCACTAATTGCTCAAATGACCACTACATCGTCACTTCTTTCAGAGTATATGGCATCCCTACAGGTGACGAGGCATGCTTTAAACGTCCTTTCCATCGTCTATCGCTCGATTAGACTTGCATCAATGCCTACTCCAGAAAAACACACAAAAAAATACACAAATCCTTCTTCAAGACCCCAGATTTCTCCCACCCCACCAGGAGAGCGAGCACCCTTTTCTTGCCATCACAGGTGATCCAGATTTGCGCCTCACAGGGTGCCTCACACCACTGACGTCCGTTCGCCGCCGTCTCCTGGGGAGAAGCAGTGAGAATGACTTCAAACGCCAGCAAAATCATCAGCACTTGGCTTGGAGCAAAATGATTCCAATCATGTTTTTCGATTTTAGATCTATAAAGACAACAAAGGGTCCGACAAGTGAAGAGTCTCTGGATCTGATCGGATTCCCATATGAACGAACCCTTATCTATTTATTAACCCTTTGATCAACGTGTTGGCGACCAGCTACGAAAACGCTTCGATGAGGCTTCGCTCATGACCTTTCTTGTGGTTATTGCATCCATCTCGGATAAATTTTGTTCACGGTCACCATCCACTGACACTGATTCTGAGACTCTGTCCCGTGGTCACGGTACCGGTCTCCTGTGACAGTCTTGGCCCTGAAAGCTTCCAAAGTGCATCTCCTCAAACAGAAGGCGACTGTGATGTGGGTGTGTACTTTATTGGGGAGGCCTCCAACCAAAGCGTTTTGGTCCATGTTCCTTCTTCCAAAGGCAGGGTCTCCACTGGGGTTCTCCCTATTGTAATGCACATCCATATAGGGTGCTGCTAGATGCGTGTTGTGACCAGTGCTTGCTGCGGTCAGTAGAAGCATGGCATGGAGTTGTCCTGACTTTCGAGCTGCGCGATGTCCCTGGAAAAGAGTGCGGTGAACTGAACGCACTCCACCAAACTCTTCTTGTGAAACATGAGGTGTCCCCAAAACAGGTTTTGCAGGATATCCATGGATAGTGGGTATAGTATATGTAGGTTGAAGGTGGTTGAAGTTTGTGGTTTATAATCAGGTTATCGTTATCTTTTTGTTATAATTATGTTGTTTGTGGGTATAGTATATGTATAACAAACATATTGTAATGTTTTTATATGTTTTTATTTTTGTTATAATCAGGTTCTCACCCAGTGTTCGCCACGTGACCGAGCATGTCAGGTTTGGTGTTTGGTGTCAACGGCGACGTCAACGTGGCTGCCTTCCTCGTCTCTTCTTTTGGTTTCATGGCCGTGTCGTTTTCTCTCCCTGGCCAAAGCCATCCAAAGCCCCAAACCACCACCGGATCCCGCCGCCCCATCTCTAGCCAAACTTCTGCGTCCGAACAGCTTCGCTAGAACTTCCAGTCGAACAGCTTTGGCCGTGGTTGGCCGTCCACCAGGCATTGCCCCGACACGTCGCAGGTGAGGTTCGCCGGACCCAAACCTGGAGGTGTCGGTCATAGTCTGTCTGTGGAGGGCTCGAGGGCTGGAGGGGAGGGCAGGCCTGGGCAGGTCTTGGTAACGGAGGAGGTTGGAATCGCTCCTCCTCAGAAGGTATGACTGGACCCTTCCCAAACACCTTCTAAGCTACGACTGGAGCCCTAGCGCTGAGCTTCGTTTTGACCTGCTGCAGCTTCGGCCGTCAAACAGGCGGAAACTGTCGGTCTCTCCCAAGGACTGGTCCGTCTGTCTGAGGTGGAGGAAGGATTGTGGTAGCTTCTTGGTCTGGAGGCAGGTGTGTGGAGTTTGGGTGAGGAGATCTGGGTTGGCGGTGAGTGCTTTTTTTGGTGCAGTGCAGGCGTGCTTTTTTGGGGTGCAAAGGCAAAATATGGACATACTCTCTCTCTCTATATATATATATATACCTGGGACCTGGAACGACCACTTTTTTTTGGTCGTTTCAAACAAATACGGTCGTTTTATCTTGCAGTCATTTTACACATGAAAAAATTGGTCGTATACGTTTTTATATGTTTTTATACGGTTTGCATACGGCCTGTATACGGTCGTGGTTCGAAGAATATACGGTCGTTTCAACAAAATACGGTCGTGGTTCGAACAATATACGGTCGTTTCCAGAAATATACGGTCGTATACGATCGTATACGATTTCACAAATCAACTGCTTGATATGCATTGTGCATGATGTAATATTTGAACTTCATCATAATTGACAAAAATACGGTCGTTTAAGAAAAGACCATTTTTTATGGTCGTTTGAAAAATATACGGTCGTTTGAAGAAACAACCCAAAAAAAGTGGTCGTTTCAGGTTGCAGGTATATATATATATATATTAGAAGGTCCTGGGAGGACTGCGTCATGTTTTGAGGCCCCCCGAACTGGAAATACGTGGTTCGTCATGTCTTTCCAGCGAGGCGAGTTGTCAGTGAGACATTGAATGAGTGGTTCGTCATCCAACCTGTAGTTTGAGTTGATCAAACCCAAACACTCCATGTATGGCATATTTACCTACATTGACCCCTGAAACCACCCCAATGTAGGCATATATGGCATACATGGAGTGTCTGGGAAACTACAATAAGTAACACTCATCTGGCAAGAATACCCTCTGTCGGATTTGCCTCCAGAAACCGGGAACACATATATCCCCTCCTTTCAGGGGATGGATCCAGAAAACAAGAAAGGGCCAAAAAAAGGGTCAAAATCACCCTTTGAGGACCCGTATTGACCCGTCAGCGTTGATGGTTGTTGCCCTTTCAACGAACATGAATCCAAGCAACTCTCCATGCCAAATGACAGATGGCTTACTCATATGGGAAGAACAAACAATCACCTACACATCCATCCCGATCCGCCACATCTAGACCCAACCCAACCAACTGCTGCAGGCTCACCATCGAAGTCCAAACGTTTCCCCGGGCACTGGCCACAGCTCAGGCCCTGCGACACGCCACACTGCCGACCTCAGAGGCCGATGGTGTTTGTTCATTCGACCAGAAGCTGGTGGATCTTCATTGGACAAATGGATTTCTGTGGATCTTCCCGAGAACCTGGTGGATCTTTGAACCGTCCATCATCTTGGGGATTTCTGCTTCTGTCGATCCCAGCTCCTGGTCTTCGTTGAAGGGTTGGGGGGGGGAGACTGAGAGAGCTGACCTCCAAAACGCCCTGGCAACGGCAGCGAATGGACGGAGAGCTTCCCTGGCTGTTGAGGTCGAGAAAGGTCGACAGGTGGTTTTAAGCAGAAAAGAACACGAAGGTGACAGGCAGGATGCTGACATCCAGGAGTTGAAGGAATATAACGGAATGTCCTTGAGATCCAGGAGTTGAAGGAATACAAAAGGAAGGTCCTTGAGATCCAGGAGTTTTTGGATGTGCTTCAGGGAACAAAGAAGCTGCCAAACCTTGAATTGGGGGGCCTGATATGCCTGGAGCCCACAACAGCATCTGCATCTGAATGGTTTCTGGACCAATCAGTATTGGAAAAGCTAGTGCTAGTCCATTGATTGCAAGGTCGTGGATGTATAAGTAAACCATAGCAAACCCTATATAGAGCTGAAGAGCTCCGGCCTCATCTGGAAGGAACAAAACATTACAAAACAAAAAACAAGTGTATGACGAATAGAATGCCCTAGTTGTGAAAAGCACAAATAATCCCAGGCAGTGCTGCATGTTCGTTCTCTTTGCTTCTATTGTTGCTTGATTTCTCGGGTGCTGCCAGCACCAAACCAAGCTGCCAATGCTGGCACAGTCACAAGCACTCTGGACAGCTGTGCCAGCAGGCTCTTCAGTCCTGATCGGAAAAAATAACATCAACCAGGGCCCCTGGTTTTGGGGGGTGTCTAATGACAGCCCTTAGATCTGTATCCTATTCCCTTGGGGGGCCTGGTAGGAAAGCCCAGGCCACATCCCTGAGATGGTGATGTTCTTGTTGAACCCGACGATTCGACTCTACGGGTATGTTCGGACACCCCCAATACCCCCCAGTATTTACAATTGATCGGTGAGTAAAGCAGTTGCCAGCACTACACAAGGTAATGTTTTGACGCATCGTAACGCATCCAAAATGCGTTTTGATTCCAGCTGCACATTTGTATATAACGATAGCCCTTTTATGGCCCGTTGACTCTGGGCCATCGGGCCAACGGGCATAGGAAATGGGGCGTCCGATTTCATTTAATTATTGGAACCATTATATAAAGGATTATAAAGGTATTTGGAGGATGATTTGGTTATATAGTTGTCCCACCCAACAAATTAATGATCAATAATGATCAATTTCAGTCCACGAACAACTCATGGTTCAAAGAACTCTCACCAGAAACAATGAAGGACCCAACAAACAAATATATAGCTTTCACTCCACTTATGTAAGCACAATGGATCATTTCAGGGAGTGCGTCTGCTGAATGGCCACGCGATTCGGTCTTCCGACCGGGACTGCTAGTCGATACGATGCCAGGTCGAGAGTTCCGCGGTGTTCGGCGTTTGCAGGAAGGGTCGGGTGCAATCAGTATCCTATCTCGATAGGGGGTCCATTTTTCAACCACCTAACTTGGGTTCTGTGCCATTGGTCCTCTCAATCCACTATATCCGAGGCACCGGTAGTTCAATCCGAGGTGCATGAAAGTGTGTGAATCCACTGGGAGTTAAAGCATATTGGAACTCAATTGGTAGAGCGGGTTACCTTCCAATTGACTTACTAACCTTGGCTTTTCTGCTCCATTCCCTGCACACCAGAATGGAGGGTCAAATAACAGTTTCTTTTTCGGCCACTTCTAAGGGCCGCCGTTCTCTGCGGTTCTCTGCGGTTGGAAGCCGTGTCTGGGGTTCCCCCACATGCGAGTGGCTTGCTGCACCAAGGTGTCACAGATGTTCAGGTCGCCCACGTGGAGCCTGGCGCGGAAGGCCCAGGCTAACACTCCGCAACTTGGATTTGGAACATGCCAGGTATTATGGTTATGGTTATGGCTACCTCTTCCCAAAATGAAAACCTCTTCCCCATGCGAGGCGATTCATCCAGTTCCGGAATATCAACATCATCCGATCCGCAAAAAGGGCAAGGAAGGTGTGAGCGGTGCAAGGAACCTGTAGCAAGGACGCTATACTGGTAGCTCCTGGCCTTACTACTAGGAACAAGAAGCTACTAGGTAACAAAGGGCATCGCTATATACTAGGAGCAAGGACGCTACTAGGGGCTCCTGGCCTTACGTAACAAGAAGCTTCTGGGGGCTCCTGGCCTTACGTAACAAGAAGCTACTAGGGGCTCCTGGCCGTTCTACTAGAAGCAAGGACGCTACTAGTAGCGAACAATTCCTGGTGGTGGGTGGGATCCATCTGTCGGCCGTGCTCGACCGGGACCCGTCGCATGGCGTGGGGTCGGCTGCGCCCACGTCGACGTGGACGGGGGCTCCAACGAATGCCCCGACAAACATCACATTGGAAAGTGGGAGTGTTGGGCCCCGAAAGAGATACACCTTTCCGAATACGAAGAGGGGGTTGTCAATTGTCACTCCACTCCACTTCAAGATCTTCAAGGACGATGTGGTGATGAGGGAGTGCACCTGTTGGTCCCAAAACATGTGGTTGGAGATGGATTCGCCTTCATCACAGCCGGTTCACTCCAAAGCGCCTCATTTCGACCAGCAAATCAATCATCCACTGACAAACGCGTGCTCATGAACCCATGGACAAATAATGAAAAAGAGTCCGAATGAAGCAAGGAAAAACTTCTACACTTATCAGTCCTATTAGACTTATCACTTGGACAACCGGCACCTTCCGTGGGATTTCCAATGCCCTTTCCGGCACAAAACGATCTTCGGATCTCCCACTTGCGACGGTCTGGATTCTTGATGCAACCCACACGGCCCCACCTGAGAAGCTCATGAAAGCGCTTGGAGGCGGCCTCATAAATCTCTTCATCCACCTGGACCCAAGATGTCTCACACACTGAGGATGGGTAGTAGGATGGGTTTGGAAGGTCTCCGAAAACTGCACTGCAGGCCCTGATTTCCGCCTGCTTTAAGTGGATAATGAGCTATTCAAGTATTTTGTCTGAAGAGATGTCTCACACAGGGGATGGAGAGGAAGTTCATCAAGTAGACTGGGCCCAAAGCCCAAACCATTTGGTCGAGCATAGGGGAAGCAATTAAACGCAGTTGGTTGAAGTTCCTGGTGGGTGATTAAGTACATCCCTAGATTCCCAGATTCCGACCCACAACAGGTAGACCGAAGGCTATCGTCCTCGATGAGCTGGTGGCTATCGGGCTTGGGGACTCCAAAAAGAACCAACTCCCATGGTCAGACATGGTCTTAACATGATTCGACCTCTTGAGGGCAAACACGCCATACACTTGTCCGTGATGGTATAGTTTAACTTGAGAGAGGAGGGGGTGAACGAAAGGTAGCAGGCAATCACAAGTAACCCTGGTAGAAGTCCACGACGGCGTGAACCGGCGCAGGGGGGATTTGATCCGGGGGGGGGGCCCCCCCCCCCCCGACGAACAGAATCAACTCTTACAGGACCAAATTCAATGCACAATCCCAACTCCTGATTGTAATACATTTTTGCTAAAGCAAGGAGAACTCAGGTAGCTCAAGCTACCTTTCGTGATATACCAAAAGGCTGCGTTCTTATTTTGCCATGTCCTTTCTTTCAACCAACACTTACTTTCTACATGTGTATAACATGTGGATCATACATGATCATACCCTTTGATGGTCATACTCTTGGTCCAGATTATGTTCTATTCTTAAATGTGTAAGATGTGGATCACAAAAAATACAAACCTTGGTGTTACATCACCCAAGATCCAACCTCGCTCTATGACAGATCGGCACCTTTGGGTGCTTTTCAAGTGATGAGAAGAAGGATGCTTGCATGGAGGCGACCCATGTCTTCACTGGAATTCAACACCCCAAACCTTCGCAAGAGTCCTTGGTATATGACTATATTGTTTATAATATTATTGTTTGTGATGCGCGTTCTTGTTTCCAGTCTTTCCAGTCTTGTGGAGCAGTTCTCGCATGAGCTGTAGCAAGCCAGCCCAAGATCCACTCAACTCCAGCCCATGCAAGCTGCGCCTCGTCGATGAAGCCTGCAAGCTGCGCCTCGTCGTAGAGTTCGTCCTCGGAGCTGCAACTGTGGCTTCAACTGCTGAAAAAAAAAAGACATAAGAAGTCACCCGAACCAACAGAACAGGACCACCTGAGCCCAAGCACCCCTCAGGTTGGTTAAGTGACAAGTCAACTCTGTAAGGGGCTATTGATGGACATCCCTTAGGTGGCCTACACTGCTAGAACTTCTTGCTGCTTGCTTTTCTTGAGCCAATTCACTCATGACATGTCAGGCCCGCATGGTGGCGAAGGTGCCTCTTCATGAGATAGCATTGGTCGTTTGGAACTTCTTAGTCCTGATGCTGTTTCATTGGAAAGAAACGGCGGTTAAACTGCTGAAAATCATGAATTAGTACCTATGAAGACTCATCCCTTAAACCAATCCCTTCTCAGCCCATGCGTCTTGATGGAGGGATCCCTGATGAAAATCCACCAGCTGCGCGGCGCTCACGCTGCCGCCGAACCTCGGCTGGATGTGTCAACGGGAACGCTGAGGCGAGTGAACGGGAACAAGTGGATGAAGTCACTCATTCCCTAGGGTTCCGGTCCCACCCAGATCCAAAGACTAAAAAAGCATCTAAAACCGACTGAACGTGGGGCCCCTGAGGCCACTTGTAGAGTGGTGGCTGGCATCCACGGATGGGCACGGCGTCCGCGGAGTGTAAGTAGGTCGGACTGCTCCGGCCTGATGTCCTACTAGTACATGTTAGTCAGTAAACTGAATGGAGTCACGACCTCACTAGCTACCCTTAGACAATCTTGGATCCATCTAATACTAAGGTTGCAAACAAATTGAATATCATATAACCAACTCAATCAACTCTTCTCTTGGAGGGTTTCTATGGGCAGTATAACCAATCCACTACCCAGGCTTGTTCACCCAAAAAAGCAAGAGGTCCCCCTCCCAAACCCTAAAAATCCATCCTGCTCCATCCTGGCAATTTACAGTACTCCGTGTCCGTGAGAAAAAAACACGTCGAGACTCAAATCAACCACGGAGTGATGAATATGGCGTCTTTTCGGCTTAAGTCTCTTCTTCTCCGTGCCCTCGCCCGCCTCGGCCTCCGCCCTCGCCCCCACTCGGCTGACTCAGCGCTCCAAGGCACATGCGGTGAAAGAGGCACACCGAGAGGTCCCACTCCTCGGTCAGGCCGAGGAAGGTCATCTCCTGAGAGCGCCCCAAACAGGGTTGGACCGTTTCAGGGGAGGGAGGAACGTTGTTCCGCACTTGGCGCCCCAAACAGGTACTTTTTATAGGTGTAGAAAGGAAGGCTTGAGGGATTGGAATCCGATTCGCCCACAATGGATTTCATCGTTTTGAGATGGTTTTGACATGGTTTGACCTAGTTATGTTTTATGGAACGCCTCCCAAAACTGCAGCGAAGGGAGTTGGGAGGAGGTAGCCAGTATGGTTTAGCCCGGGTTCAGCCCCAGGGTTGCAACATTAGGCGGACAAGCGAAGGGGATGAGCTGGGGTGTGGACCGTTAAAAAGCACAACAAAGGGGAGGCTGGGAGGTGATGAATCACCTGAAGGGCCAAAACGGAAAGAAAGGACACAAATTCATGAGTCTGGCCTCAACAAATCAATGTGTAGTGGGCCAAAATCATGGAACATTGACCACAATTGAACATGGAAAAAGGAGGAATGGCACCAAGCAGGAGATCTCTGAAAGCCCCCCAGCAGTTGGTCCAGATTGATATGTGTCCCCGTAGGCAATGAACACTTGGACAGCCAAACCATCTCTTGATGGTGGACAGCCAATACACCGCCGGAGAACCCGACGGCAGAAACAGGCATGTGACGGCACGTGTATGCGCTGATGAAACAAGCTCACCCAACACAAACAATTCCACGTATGGAATCTTTAGCTATACTGGGGATCACTGGTGGTTTCAGGGCTCAATGTAGGATATGATATATTCCATAGATACCGACTGTTGGGAATAGAAATTGCTCCGTCCTTGACCATCTTCAAGGCCTCTTCCAAGCGCGCCTGACGCAAACCGCATCGATGGCAGCTCAGCTGCGGGCTGTGTCTCATCAAATGGGTGTCGGCGGTGTCAGTAATTGTCACGAACACCTTACCAGCAACGTTTCATGTTGAATGCGTCTTTTTCAATTTGCATTGCTATTCGCCCCAACACTCTGGCAGGCTCGCTAGCATTGAGTTTGGGGTGGAAGGGGTCAATGTGGTTTGAAGGGTTTGCATATTTTGTTCATCTACGGTAGGTGTCATGTACTGTGAACACGAAACAGGCAGGTATATAAGTACAAAGCGGTGGGGGCGCGGGCGGGGGTAACTATTTTCATATTGACACCAAGCCAATGTAGTATGCGACCTGCTGTGGAACCTCAACTTTAGATCAACCTCAGGCCCACAACATCACAGGATGATGAATGGCAAACAAATAAGCCAAACTCCAAACACCCATCGTGACACCCCGCCTGGCACCTGTCAGTCCTGACACGTTTGATACCCTCAATCCAAACAAATTCCGAACTCAAGGGCCCTCAACTGACTGGTACTTAGTAGGGAATGAGGGAATGACCCCTTACTATATCTTACTATAGATACCGTAAAGGATCCATTCTCTCATTCCTTACAAGTCGCACCAGTCAGTCAACCAAGTTTCACCTCAAACGTGCCAGCCATCATGCCACGTCGACCATCCCCATCCTCCATCTCATCCACCGAACTCGTCTCGCACCGGACCTTCTCTCTGACCTTCTCTCTCTCTCTCTCTCCTGGTGCGACTCGTAAGGAAAGAGAGAATGGATCCGGTCTCTATCAGATTTAGGGCTCATTCCCTCATTCCCGACGTCCAGTACCAGTCAGTCTCTCCACCCATCCGCCGCACCTTCCCTCCGTCGAAGCTGCTCAGCAGCGACCGATCCGCCGCAGACTCCGCGCAGCTGCCGCCCGTGAGCATCCGCGCCGTGCAGCCCGCGATGCCTCGGGAAGCGGTGGAAGCGAACCGGTTCGGGGCGTGGTTTGGTGCGAACCGGGGTCGGTTTGGTGGGTCGGTTTGGGTGGTTTGGTCCTTTGGTGTCGTCTTATTTGGGGTGTCGTCTTTCAAACCTTTCCATGCATGATAGACTGTATACCACCTGAAGAAGGTGGGCTGAGTGGGCTGGGACAACTCGATTGTGCCAGTTCTTTTGGGGAATTGAAGATGAAAAAACTGACAGGTCGGGTCTTGGAAGATACATAAACATATTGAAGGCCCTTCTTTCGATCAAAGGTTGAGCTTGCATTATGGCATCTACCAAAAAATAGTAGAGCAATGCAGGGCAAACGTTGTCTGCAAGTACCTTCAAGAACATGGCTGTTGGAATGCCAAATGGATACAAAACAAGCATTACAGCATAGCAGCTTTCTCATATCAGAATTGCTGAAATGATCTGGACTCCCTTGACCCTGGAGTAAGCCTGAGTAAGCATGCAGCATGTCAATGCGTCCATTGACGACCTAGTGCGTTCAAGCAAGTAGATCCCGCAGCGAGCGTAAACAACCCCCAAATAGAAGGCTGTAGGTCCTAAACAAACCAGCAACACATGCCATAAGGCCTTAGGCACAAATCATGCACTTCCCAGCTCAGCAAGTACTGCAACATCCACCGAACAGAAAAAGAACAAAGCACCACTGTGCCTTTGCTGAATAGGACTTCCCAGCCGCTGAACTAACTCGTCCTTCAGTCAGGTCTCCTGGATACCGCGCATAGCAGGCCGCTGAGTTCTCACCCTTGGCGCCACAGGCCTCCAAGCAAGATGCCGGAACTGCCGCTGAGTGCCGCTGAGTGCGCGCGAACTCGTTTCCACGACGAAGGATCGGTTGGTCAGTGGGTGGTTTCGTTGGCTTTCGCACCTGGCACAAGTCCATCATACCAGCAGTGCTAAAGCATGGGGTGCTATCCATGGAGGTTCGGAGTGCCCCTGTCACATCCACTCACTGGATGGGACGAGTCACACCACCCCGACATGTGACTCCTGGTACCTGGCATTTGTTTACGTTGGGGTGGTTTGAGGAGTCCCATGTAGGTCAATCTTCCAGTCGGGGTGCTTTGGGGCAAGGATTGGAAGACAAAAATAGACGCCCCGATAGGAACCGGTCATGCAGTAGGGTAAGTCTATTAGATAATAGTATAGAGCCCCAACATGACATCCTTTTTGATAGGGAAAGGCCTTACATATCCTAATATGCCTGTATGTACGATGTTCGTGCAACTTAATTATGTAGGAAACCTATCCGGTCCTATCCCCCTTTTGTGTATTGCACCTTTTGTGTATCGCAGTCGCCAGGGTCGGTGGTCTCTCGGTCCGTGGCGACCGGGGCGCGACCCGCTCGACCGTCGACGGCACCTGCCAGAGGTCGCTGAACTCGTCGCCGCTCATGCCGGAGGCATGCAGGTTGTCGTAGAAGGCGGAAATCAAGCGCTGACCTTGGGTGGAGGAGCTGCATGGTCATCCGAAGCTGCGTACTTTGTAGGTCTGGTGGTGGAGGGAGCGCAGGGGAGCCAGATCAGCTGAGGGCGCTAGGCCGTTGGGCTGCTTGTGAGGAGGGAGCCAACAAAACGGGAGAACCAGCTGGCTGAGGGCTGATGGGCGAGCAAAATTGTTTTCGTCGCCACGGAAACAAAGGCCAGATCGAGCCGTTCTTGATTTCGCGCATTGTTGGGGAGGTTCTGAGCCACTTGCTGGCCTCAAACATGCTCACAATTCGTAGGGTCCTCCCTGTCTCTGCTGTTGAGGCGGAGACCCTCTCCAGGATGAGCCTGCTCAAAGAGGACATAACTATAAGGTTCAAATAGGTTCAAACCTTCGGTGGAAGGAATCTGAGCTCAAATGAAACAACATATAACATATATATTTCATCATATTTCCTTCAGAAGCTCCTCTGCTATTCTTGTCGGGGCACTGGGTCGACGGAAGAGCCCCACGACGCTCCAATCCTTCTGGCGCATGTCCAAGGCAGTCACAGGCTTGTGCTGTGTGGAGAAATCTTCGCTGAGGTAACCATCCTGGCAAATGAACACGAGGTGAACACGGCGAAGTGTACACTACCGTGACGGCCCGTGACACAAATATTCTAGAGATTGCTATAATAGAGTTTAAGTCTTTAAACGGGGTTTGAGTGGTTGCTGGCTGTCACAATCGAATCTTTTTGGTTGTCATACACTGCTGTTGTCAAATATGTTCTTTCTTGTTCGTTCTTGGGAGGCTTTTGTGGTGTGTTGTATTGATCAGCAAGATTTGCCTGAAGGCCAGAACGCCCGCTGCTTCATCTTCAATGGTGCCACGCCGTGCTACTACCACCCCGATGCCGCTGCACCGACAACGGAGAGTAGGTCTCCGCGGTCCTCACAGTAGGTCTCCGCGGGGTAGCGATCCAGCAGGGCCACGTCGTAGCATTGCTCGCAGCCGGGCACCGCCCTGGGACTCACCGCTAAGTCTAAGGGGATCCTGGCGCAGAGAGCGCCGCGCGCGCGCGGGAGAGTGGGGCGTGAGGCGTGAGGCCGGAAGGATGGTGGGATGGAGCCTTAAAGTAGAACCAAACATCAATTTATTAAACAAATAGATGTTTTTCTTTGGAAGATTGCCAATAAGGTCGACTTTGTGGGATAGAAGACTTCATGATGGACAGAACATGAGATCTATCCCTAGCATTTTGACCTCTCTGATTGCCCCTGTATTCCATCAGCCCAAGATGCGCGCTGGATCTCTCAATTATAGTGGATTGAGAGTGGATGGCACAAACTTAAAATGCCTTAGACAAATAAAGGGTGTCAAAGATATCCAGCCAGATTTTCACGGAATTGAGTCTATGACTCCGCTTGCATGTACCAAGGATTTCTGATCCAGCAGTTGCGAAAGGAAAAAAAGGGGTCCATATGAACAACCAACGTTGGGGCGTGTGCCATCCACTCTGAAACAACTTTAAATCTGATCCCCTTCCGTGTTGGTCAAGGCGGCCTTCCCCGGCTTAACGAATTTCTTCCTTGGATCGGCAAAACATGTCCAGTGCCGTTGGAAAGAAGTCACTTTCTGCGCCTCTGACCGCAGGCGAAGTTCCAAATGGTTGCCAAAAAGCTGGTTCCCGCTTTGGGAAAATGCAGCCAATGGATATGTCCTCAAGTCGGCTCTCGTCACCGAGTCGACGAGTGCCGTTTTTTGTGCATGCGCCAGGACCAAGGTGACGAGTGCAGCAAGGGCGGTCAAAACCGCTACTTCTCTGCTAGAACCCTTCTTCTTCCACGTCCTGGGATTTGCTTCCTTTGAGATTTGAACAGCTGTGGGCCACAGAGGCAAGTTGGCAAGTTTTGGCAACAAACCATGAGAAAACCCTTCGTCCACCTTCCATCGCGGTTGGCAACAAGTGGGGGTCCATGCAAAAGATATGCCAAACAATTGGATCCTGTTGAGATTGAGTTCCGTACCCGTACCCAAACACAGGCAAGATCATCATCATCACCATCATCATCATTCTCCAAGTACCTTTCTGGACTCTCCTGGCACCCAAACCACCACAGGTTGACATCGTATCCTCGTGTTGGGTCACGCCCGGTTTTTCCCAACACATCGCATCATATAGCCACTTCCCAAGTCTCATCTGACATGAGCTACGGCCAGCCTCCCTGGCAAAGAGACCCCTTCTACAGGTTGGAATCGTTCGAATCCCCTATCCTTCTGGGTGTGGGATCCAAACAATCTCTCTTGCCCCTGCTCTAAGGGTTCGAGACGTCATGTCCCCTCACCCTGCCACCCTAACCTGCCTCTCCGCCCAAGGCTCTCAGTGGTTGTGCCGCCAGTGCAGGCACCTGTGCAATCCTGGAGCCCGCTTGGCGCACGGAGTTCGGTGCACTCGGAGGCGGATCCACGTGGTCATCATGCAAGAGGCTTGAGGTTGTCGTTGGAGCCGGCCGCACCATGGGGTTCTATAGGGGTCAATGTATGGCATATATGGCGGAGTGTCCGGGTAGGTTCTATACACATGGAGCGGAACATCGATGGCGTTCAGTGGCGTTCAGTGGCGTAACCGGCGTTCACGTCAGATCGGAAAAGCACCTACCTGCGCGGACCGGTGTTGAGAGGTGTACAAGGAGGATAGGCACAAGGTGTAACCAGGCCGGTGCAAAAGCACCTGCTGTTCCTACCAAGTCCTGGGTACTGCTGGGTGTTTCTTCTTTCCAAGCGTCTCTAGCTTTCCGCAGGCACGGCTATTAGCGCTCTGGAGCAGCACCTCCCGTGCTTTTGGACTCCTAGCACCGGCGACGGCGCGTCTTGTTTCCCGTTTTTTGGGGTGTGTGTGTGACCACCTTGAAGAAGCACCGGAAGGTGGCTACAGTGCAGGCTTTACAGTAGCAGCAATCTCCCTGTGACCATCTTAAGTGTACGTTGAAGGCCTTCCCTTGCGAGGTCACCTGAGACGATTCGAGCAAGGACAGTCAGCCTCCAACACCAAAGCACCCCAAAAGGGAAGGTCCAGGAACAAACTCCAAGCAGCAACAACCCAAGGATGGTTTAGAGACCCCTCCCTAGAAGGTTTTTACCCACAACCATCCTTAGATATCATGCTGGAAGATACTCTTTGATGCACCGCAAGCTCAAACAAATGTGCTGCATCTGGTTTTGCCAGGCGTTAAACTCATGTGCTGCCCCATCGAAGCAACGGGGGGGGGGGGGCGATGCGAGAACGCCCTCGGCCCCGATCCGAGGCTGCCAGCGGTGGCAGTACTCTCCATGGAACGTCACATGGTGACGTGGAGTTCACTACCTGCTTGTAGTGGAAAATGGTCTTCCTTTCGGGGCCATGGCATCCACTTCCATGTTAGTTCCAGCGAGTGTATATACCCCTACAGGTCAAAGACCTCATTTTACTGGAGTTGATGATAGAGGTAAAGGAAGAGGTTCTAGGACTTGTAGGGATTGTCTTGCACGCGCTGCACGGTTTCCTGGCGACCAAGAGGATTTGTTTCGTAGGGTAACAGTATCAAAGCAGCTATAGAATTCCAGATTATGGTGGTTGCATAATGTATCCCAAAAGTCCAAAAGCACCTGCTGGGAAAATCTTTTCAGGATGTATATATATATAATTAGGTCGTTCATTCAGGGTGCCGTTATCTTAACCTCTTAAGAATTCACTCGGACGGATATCCCTGTCCTGAGCATTCGCGACTGACGCTGTAGCAGGTGGGATGCAGTGGCCGCTGAGCAGCCGTCGTCAATTGCGCTGCAAAGCACCATGGAAGCGATTGCTGCGGCATAAGCCGCGGCGTTTAGCGCGGCGGGCATGGACGTTGGTAATACCGGGACGGCAGGGAGTGAGTAAAGTTGAGTGAAAGGACTGCGGTGGATTCCAAAAAGTCCAGTGATCAAGGACTTCGATGCATCATGGAACTCCATGAAATCAACCTGTTAAATCAAACACAGCGATTGACCCGATGGATGAGTGTTTCAAGGACGCAAATTCATGGAGGGTACATCAAAGAACTCATCAATGTTTAAGTATAGCTCCAAAAGGATGTCTTTTACTATGTGAATAGTTAATATGCTGTATATGATGTCTGGTGCCCATCTGCGCCCTACCTGACAGCTTCCTCCTCCCACGCCGGGTGCCCCAAGCGAAGGCGGAGAGCACATACGGTTCCTGCGGCGTTGTTTGGCGCGCTAGGCCACATGACCGCTTCAGTGACAGCTCCGGTGGATTCCAGAGGGATGAACTCCTTTCAAAGACCTGTATATATACAACAACAGTATACAGTATAGCAGGAAATTAGGAGGCAAATAGGAGAGTTCCCCATTAGCCGTCCCAAACAATCCCAGGGGGGCCCCCCCCACGATTTGTGGAGGACAAAACTGGAGGAACTATCGCAAATAGCAGGTCGTTCCTCTTCTTTCTTGAATCTACTCCTTTCAAATACCAGATAATTATGCGGCAAATCCTATTTTGTAGCTCTACTACTTCGATGTGGTGAGGACCCCACTGAGGACCCCTTTTATGTGAAATCATGCGCCAACTGTGCAGATTCCGAACCCAAAAGCACACGCAGTAACTGAAAAGGGAAGATATCAGTGGCTCACAAGAGTCTGAAAACAAAGAACCTGGGGCCGGGGGCAGAAATCCAGACCCCAAATGAGGCGGAATCCAGACCTTCCTTAGCTGCCAACACATGGAGTCATGGAGTGTCTGGGAAAACTCACCAAACCAACTGAAACGGCTCAGGATGGACCGCCATTCGGCAGGACGTCCCCAGCTCTGATGATCCACTTCCCTTCAAATCCTATTTCTCCGACCCCATACGTTCATCGCATTGTAGAAGTCCCCTGGGGATCCCGGGAGTTCGATTAAGAAACCATGCACCCTTCTTGGTGCACATCAGAAGTCTGATTCGACTTTGACCCAAGACATGTTAATTGATGCTAATTGTAGCTTCTTCTGGGCTTCTGTTCAATGTTCAATGTGGTCTGGCCACAAGAAGTCAAGCCCTTCAGGTATCTTTAGCTCCACAACCTGCAAAAGCTCCTGCAAGGCCACTTCCGCCAAGTGAAAGCCAGTCAACTGCGAGTGCTGCGATGACGCAATGGGTCTTGTCTGAGGAATCAAACCCGTCTCCGGAATGGTGTTACATCTTCATATGGGTGTGACTGACTAATCAAAAACAGACTTATCATGATAGATTGTAAAACTTCTTAATGGGGACCCTCAAAAGGCCCACCCAGCCACTCAAAGGCTCTATGCAGGGTGTCTCAAGTTCATCTTCAGACAGGAAATGCTATCGGAACCTGCTCCTCATCCAACTCATTCGTCCACCAACTCCCCCCTTGGTGAAGCACCGAATGTCTGCGACTTGGAGCGAGTGGGAGTGATGACCATCCACCTAGATGGCGTAGATGGCATATTGACCGAATCAGTTGGGGTGTTTCTGGAAGTCAATGGTGTCTCTATTCCATACATGGAGTGTCTGGGTTGCAGGTTTGTGGGTTGTTGTGGTGGATTGTGGGCGGTGCAGCTCGGTGCGCTTCACCTGCTTTTGACGGTGCCCAAGAGCATGCCAAGTTAATACCAAGGCCCTGCCTTGAGCCTTGGCTCCAGCTCCAATGCAGAAAATCAAGAAATATCAATGATAACATAACATGTGATAAGCTTCTTTGCTCTGTGACAGACCAAAAACTCCAGAGCAAAACCCAGCATGTGCAATGTGATTACTTTTGTAGGGCTTTTCCAAGCATCTGAACTCGTGGAAAACAATTCCCAAGCTTTTAGCGGCTTTGGTATGGTCCAACTCTCCAGCTCTCAGCCGATCCGCCTGAGTGATATCGGCAGAGGGGTGCACCTGTCAAACGGCTTTGTCGCGAGAGTGCGTCTGCTCAACCCCAAAAGAGGAGCTGTCTGGGCTGGCCAGTGTTGTTGGAGCAACCCCAACAGGCTTATTCACTCTGACTCTTGTTGGGGTCAAACGGCGTGGCTACCTGGCCAGTTTGCTTTTCTGCAAAGCCAGAAGCTGGAACCCTGGCGGCCCGCAAACAGGGAGGTGTTACTCTTCCGTGCCATCTCCCATCGGATGCGCGGCGCGCTAGCGGCTCCTCGTGAAAGGCGTTCTGCAGGATGCGGACCAAGTCTTCCCGGCCCTCCAGCAAGGAGCCCTGGAACAGCAGCACCCCAGCAGACGGTCGGAAGATGGGAGAAACCGGTCTGGCTGAGCGAGTCGCCGAGTCTTGAGGCACAAAAGGTCGGTGTGTTGGTCCTGTCCATGTTGGAAGTGATTTTTTATTGGGCGAAGCATCCGTTTGGGAGGGGAGAGTGGGGATGGCTTCAAAAGAGGGGAAAGTATGTGGAAGGTTGAAACTTCTCCCTGCCTTTTGGCAATGTTTTGATCTTTTTTGGAGGGGCAGTGTGGGAGGACACAAGTGCATAGAGGCTGGTGGAGAGAGGAGTCTGAGGAATACTACACCAAGAGGTGAATGCAGTCCAGGGGCCGTAAAGGGTGAACTGAGCACTGGAAGTTGGTAAGGCCAGGGCCATAATGTTGCCAGTCGAAGACCCCTGTGGCTGGATCTTTCTTCCAAAATGTCTAGCTTGCTGCAGAGCCGGAGAACCTGCCGAAGCCCAACGTCTGGACGAAGGACGAAGCTGGCCCCCCCCACCCCCCTCCTCCAGGCCAAACTTCAAGACCCCAATCCTCCCATGTGAGCAAAACACACCGTGTTGCCATCCGTGGCATGACAACTGGCTGGTCGATCTCTTTCTCCCACTCTGATGTTGGTTCCAGGGGGGTCTAACCACCGAACCTGAGGATATAGTTGGAGCCCTAGGGAAAGAACAAGTTCAACCAGGCTCTTCCAAGACTTCCCCGGCATCTCCCACCAGCCGGTTCACATCGATCTCGGCAGCCTCGGCGCTCCGCGCCCGCGGGCCCACAAAGGGGCACTGGGCGGGGGCGGGTGGTTTGGGGGGAGCCTGGCCTACAACCATCCTGGAGTAGATAGAATATGAAACAACCATGAACCAACCCCCAAAAAACAGGATCCGTTTTTCTCCAGCACCACGGATTTGGGGGTGTCCATTCATGGCCCCTTATACAGTAGTCAGAGGTCATTCGAGGTCTCCATTCACCACCCCGAATGGGAAGTCCTGGCAGAACCACTTTTTTGGAACCAGCTGGGATGGAGGGACCGGAGGAAAGAGCCTTGTTCAAACAAAGCAACACACGTGAGGGAAAGCACGGCTTCCTAGCGGACACGAGTCCGTCCTCTCTCTCGGTGTGCCTCTTCAGCTAAGCTAGGCCAAGGTGGAAGGCGGGGATGATGTGGGACCATCAGCCCCTGTGATTTCGCAAGAGAATGGGAGCATGTGAACTTCTTTTTTGCCATACTTCATGTGAGCCCATGGAACTCCAAGACCACATGGAACTCCAAGACCACATGGAACTCCAAGACCACATGGAGCTCCAAGACCACATGGAACTCCAAGACCATGCTGACAATGATGCTTCTAGGGTGACCCGTCAGGAAACCTTCCTGCACTGACAGGCACATATACAAATACCAAAGCCCCCTGTACTGCCCCCTGTTTGGGGTGTCTATCAATGGCCCTTAGAGGTGACTGGCGCATTAACCACACCTTACAAACCTCTGGTATGTGAAACATGTGCCCCAAAGTGCATGATTCTTCCAAAGAGTGTATAGGATCTAGAGGTGCCTGCACACCTGGACAACCACAGCCTTCGACCAACCCGGTAACGACCTGACTGGTACGTCACCTGAACCGGTGCGACGTCTGCGGGGATTTGCATCGGGCTCCCGGCTGGCGGTCCGTGCCTGGGTGACATGGCTCATGGAAGGGGCCTCGAATGAATCGCCTCGAATCGCCTCGAATCCACAAACACCTGGATTGGCTCTAATGGATCCCAGTGATACCGCTTTGGTTTGTTCTCCCCCGGCAAGTACTCTTGTGGGATGCCACGGAAGGAAGGCAAACAACTCCCACAACTGGTTGACCTACCTGGAATCGGTCCTTTGCTCCATGGAGGACTGGTTGAGCGCCTTCAGCCTACAGTGAGTTTGGATTCCTGAGAGGGTTCAATCATATCATGGTATGCTCCGACGAACACATCACATGGAAGTGGAAAAACAGTCCCTTGGAAGACTACTTTCCTTTACAAGCAGTAGGTGTTCCACGTAACCATGTTAGTGAGTCAGAGTGTAATACAGTTGGAACGATTAGCTGACATTAAGCCACTCTTCATTCCGGAAGGAATGGACTTCATGACTTGCCTGTCCTTGGATCTTCTGCTAAGGGTTTGACCTTATACCACAGGGAGGTATTAGACTTGCCCATTGTAAAGGTAGAAAATGTATGAACATGTCATGTTCCAGTTAAACACGACGTGCTTGGAGTTGAAGAAATGCCCGATTTCAAGCAACTCATTTAGAGGCGGTGCTCCGTCGATATCGCATCTGTTCTACTACAATTCAACGAGAAACACTCCCACCGAGGCTCCCGAGAGGTGCCTTCCCTTGAGGATCCACCGCTACCGGGTTCCGACCGCTGTCGAAGCGTGCGTGGATTCTCTGTTTTCGAAGCGTCGAAGCGGGTGAGTTCGCTCGCTCCGGGGCAGTGAAATCGGTGAAACCAAAGGGACGAACAGGGCCGCCGTTGGGTGTTTGGGCTGGCCGTGAAGTGGGGGCAGCGTGGTCCAAAACGCAAGATTTCACTCAGTTTTTAATTCAGGGGATCGAGAGGTGAAAGTGTGGCACAAACCTTGCCTTTGAGGAAGACTCAGGCAATTCAGTGAATCTCTAATTAGCACTGGACAAATGAGAAGACATACCTCACTGGAGAACTG